TATGTCGTTCAGCCAGAAACCCGGCCAAGGCGTTTCTTCTTGCAGCTTCTTCGTGTGGAGGCCAACCGGGCTTGAGAGTTGGAAGGGTTCGATTTCCGCCTGCATGCAGACTGCAGAGTTTTATGGCTGAGACTGAGGCAGTTGCTATAGGCTCAACGGCTCTTTGCGGCTGTTTTTAAATTTACATGTTGCATCCAAAAACCAGGTCAGCAGTTCTGGAAAGTTTAATCTGTTTAGTGGTATTGAAAGCTGAGTACAACTGGCTAGATGTTCTTCCCTGTTGACCTGCATCACCAGAGCCATTGCTGCTAGCCTCGGCACCCTTGAGAGGCTCGGAGGGAAGTTGCGGTTTGCTTTTCAACTGGCCCGATGATGGCTTTTGGCTTTCTGTTGAGTCTCAACTCATTGGCCACCAGTTCACCACTGGCTGGCTTGAATTAGATAGCGGCCCCATCTCTCGGGCACAGGCTTCAGCGGCTCCTCGGCTATTTCACTGCGGTCAGAAGGCAGCCCATCTATCATTCCGCATTTGGTCGTGTGGGTGAAGACATGAAGACATTGGGCCAGGTATGTTGAATAGCTTGATTCAGATTGTTTCAGTCTTGGATTGAAACACTGGCTTGGGGGTGTTTGTGTGGTACCAATGTCACTTGCAGGCTTCGCCGCTGTCATCGTTGTCTTTTCCTTCAGCAGAGGCAGCGCCGCACTAGATGTTTAAGAGAGTGTGTGTGTGGCTCCTTGCTTAGCACCCCTGTTCTTTGAATGTGGTAGCCCCAGAGATTATTCCAAGCCCACACACCCAAAAAACGATAACCTCCGCTGTTCTATCAGGCCCAGGCGTTTGGCGCTTCACCTGCTGTCACTGCTCCCCTGGCTTTGAGAAGGCAGGGCGACGGGACACTTCAAGTGTCGAGTTTGTCGGGCAGGGTCCACTGACGTCCAACTGTTTAAGCTGGAAACGCAATAGTATTAGAGCGGTCCATCGCACAAATGCTCTGTGTTTCTCAGGGCACTTCGGCTCAGCGGCTCTTGGCTTTTTGCTGTTTGGCTGCTGAATGTTTGGTGCTTTGCGCCGTGTCGTTGGGGGTCGCCCTGAGCCAGAGTCTTCAACTTCCTCGTCCTCAGACGAGATGGCAGCGGCGCAGGGACCACCACAAGAGATGGGCCCACCTGCTGACGACAGCGCAGGCAATGGTGGCAATGGTGGTGGAGCAGACGATGGTGGCAGTGGAGCAGGCCATGGTGGCAATGGTGCTGGAGCAGGCAATGATGCGTTGGTTTCGGCTTCATCGGCTTCAGCGGCTCCAGCTTCCCGTGCTGAATCCCAACTTGCTCAGAGCGATGCAGCCAGGAGGGCGCGGCAGGAAATCGCTCAAAGCGTTAAGGCTGGGATGTCTTCATTTGAGACTGGCGCGCTGATGTTCACCAGAGAAGAGTTTTGCCGCTTTACCTGCCACCCATCGTCTGTGCCCTCATGGTTTCAGCAGAGGTACAACACTACTGAGAATTTCACCTGGGCTTTCTGTGGCTTCGACCCGGTGGTGAGCTCATTTTACCCCAGCGGCTCCCGGAACCACCAGGATTTGGTCAGTGTTTGCGCCCGTTTCTCGGTCAAAAGTTTGATTAACTTGTCTCTTCACATTTCATTGGCTGGCGTTCCTTCATGCGCAGCTGGACTTGGGTTGAAGCATGATAGTAGTCAGTTGTTTGTTCACTGGAGAATGAGAATGATGCATCTGAGACATGGCCTTGCCGGATGCCTGGCTGGTGGATGAGGCCAAGGAGCTTCAAGCACGGCTGCCTGCAGCGCAGAATGTGCCAACTCGCTGGCACACAGTTGCTTGTATGGATTAAAGTTGTGTATTACGACATTTTAATGTTCTTTCGGGTAGAGTTTTCTGGGAATCCAAAAAGGACATGCTGCAGTGGCAGAGCGGCGACGGCAGAAACAGGCACCCTATGCTCCCACGGCTCCTCGGCTTGCAGGCTTTGGCGCTGGAGGCGCAGAGCTACCAACTTGGAGCAAAAACACGAATGTGCTACCTCTTTTCAGGATGTATTTGCCAAGAGCTCGCAACTTGGAGCTGCCCCGTGGATGCACTCTGCTTTCCTTTCTCCAAGTTGCGGCAGCCGACATCATTGTCGTGGACCAGCTGACAGACATGGACACGCAAAGCTCAGATCATGTTGCCACTTGAAGCATCAAGGGACAGGGCAAATGTTAAGTGGCTGACACTGAAGTTCAGCACGCGTTGGACCATCTGTGAGAGTGAGTTTGCTTGCTTAGGCATTTTGCTCAAAATGACGTCTCCAATCCTTTTGCCTAGTTTCCTAACTCATTGGCTAGACTCATGGGGGGCCCCAGACTTTGTCGCGGATCCGCGCAGCTGCAGAAGCTTGTAATGAGAAGGTTGCGTGGCCGAACTTTCTCATCAACGGCTCCAATGGCTCATCAGCTTTGCGGGTTGGAACAGATTGTAGTGGCTTGGAAGCTCCAGTGCATGCCCTCCGTTCTATGGGCCTGCTGCACAAACATGTTTTCAGCTGCGAGATCAATCCGGCCCCCAGGACGATGATTGAAGCGAATTGCTTGCCTGAGGAAGCTTTCATGGACGACGTGATTGTCAGCCCTGCTTGCGCAGTGCCCTTTGTGCATTTGTATGTGGCTGGGTTTTCCTGCAAACCATTTTCCATGCTTCACAACAAGACCAAGCTTCTTGAGGAAAAGGAGGCTGAGATTTTCAAGGCAGTTCTTCGACGCATCGGCAAGCTACGGCCTCCATGCTTTGTCCTCGAGAACGTCAAAGGCATCCAACGGTGCATGGAGAAGGTACAATCTATGTTGCAGGACTTGTGCTACATCGTAGCGGTTCAATTGATGGACCCTTCGAGTTTGGGGGAGCCCCTTCTCCGGCCACGTTTCTTTTTCATCGGGCTGCGAACAGATGTGGCCGCTTTCCCTGCAGGAGCCTCCAGGCACATTCTCCAGCACATTTGGACTGAGCTGGGGCAGGCAAATGAACCTGCTCCTTTGGCTCAGCGGCTCTTACCAAGTGACCACCCGCTTGTGTCGCAGCACCAACAATTCAGGAGGGCGCGATGGTCTCAGGCAGCAACACTGGGGTTTCCAACCAGGTCACCCCACATGAAATGGAAGGAGCTGCATGATGAATGGAAGGCCAAACATTGCCACGCGGCTCCGTCAGCTTTTAGTTTCAGGGGCTGCTTGGCTGATGATTTGTTTTTGCATTTACCCCGGGAGAGAGACGTTTGGGACAAGTTGCGCACGACAGTTGGGCAAGCTGACCAGTTTGTGTGCGATTTGTCTCAAAGTTTGGGCCGCAACAGAGAGCGCACTGATGGAAAGGTGCCTACCATTACTCCCGGATCCCACCTGATCCTGGGCAGTGAGGGTCGAGCCCTGCTGCCGCACGAGGCTCTTCTGCTGCACGCATTCCCACTCCACAAGATGACTTTCCCAAGTTGCATCTCAGCGACGGATCTTGAGAACATGGGCGGTAACACTATGCACTGCCAGGTGGTTGGCATTGCCATGGTGATTGCTTTGCTTCTTGTCAATTGGGAGCTGCCTGCAGCCCATCAGAGCCTTCCTGCAGCGGTAGCTGCTTCGGCTCCTTCGGCTCCTTTGGCTCTTGAGGCTGCGAAGCGTTTAGAAGAGCACTTGCGCAAACGCTTTGGAATGCAGCCACCGACATGGAGCAAGGTGGCCAGAAACCAAAATTCTGGGAGGCTCAGAGTCAGAGTGCAGAAGGTCAAGGGCCTGAAGGGTGAAAGGAGACCAAAGTGGAAGAAATGTCTTGTGAACACTCGGCGGGGGTAGTTTTCTGGCGCCAAGACCAAAGACAAGCATAATTAAGCAGTGGCTTTGAACGGCTGAAAGGCTGTTGAGTTGATGGAATTTCAACAGTCATTAATGATATGTATAGCGAATTTGCCATCGTGTACAGGATCTCAGACATCAGGCCAGTATAAATCACCAAAAAAAACAAGGAGTTAACACTTGAGTTTTTTGGTTGCGTGTTTCCAATGCCAACTTTGGTAGCCTCAGGCTGCTGCGCTTTTGCTATGCTATGGCTTGGGAAAATGTCTCGTGGGCAGAGAGGCTTTTGAGAAGCCTGACCGGCGAGAGTGGAAGCCGGAGTCGTTCCTATCAGCTCAGCAGCTCGAACCAGGGCTCTTGCAGTGGAGTTTTCTGGTGAAGTGGCCAGGAAGCTTGGGAAGTTATCTGGTGAAGCTTGTAGTTTCTTCTCTTTTCAACTCCCTCCTATGGCTACGCTTAAAATTAAGGAACTAGCACACCCCCAAACGCATCCACCGGCCACTGGTAAAATCTCTCCAAGGTGTAACTTGGTGGTTTCTGCGTTCAAAGCCTGCGCCAAGACCTCTGGATCGCGCTGGCAACTGGCAGTGTTCGGTGAACCCTTTGTGGCTGCGAGACCATTTGCTTGCAAAAAGAAGGTTTGCAAGAAGCTGGCAAGCTGGCCTGAATTTTGGGCATTCCTTCGATCAATTCGCGTTCTGCGGAAATCAAGAGGCTTAGTAGCCTTTGGCCTGAAGACTTGAAGTGGGGTCAGTCTTGTTTCGTACAGGAATCGGAAGTTGCTAGCAAAGCAGCCTAAGTGGCTCCAGTAGCTCAGCGGCTCCAAAAAGCGCCCCCTCCAAATACGCCCAGTGGTTTTTAAAAAACCAAGACCGTATTGCGAGGGGAAATTGTCCACTGAATATGCTTTGCCTCAGTTTCAGTATTGCCTTGGAAAAGATAACTGAGAATACACTCCTGGTTTGCAAAAACTGGGCCTGTATTCACAAGGGCATTCCCCCCTACAATACGCCACTGGTTCGTAAAAACCAGTAACCTCAATGTTTTCGTGTCATTGAAAGGTGAAAACAAGCACTTGAAAGGTTTCGTGCATTTGAAAGGTGTTTTGTAGCCGACGACTGCTTCCAAAGGTCTCAATTTGCTTGCAAAGGTACTGCGTTGCCACTGAAAGGTCTGAGAGAGGTCTCAGGGCAGCTGTCATTGTTTTTACTATGTTGACTTCACCGTCATGAATCGCATGCTTTTGCCAGGCCAGCGATGCCTCCACCTGCGATCAGTGCAAGGCTGGCAGCAGACGAAAGGGTGAGCGCCTGCAAAGGTGGGCAGGCGACCAATTCTTGGGGGCGTTTGGCCAGATGCGCTTGGGTCGTTGCTTGGTGGTAGTAGCCCTTACTGGTCAAGTAGTGACTCTAGAGTTTGTGCCATATAGGGCCTGGCCAGCCTGCAGCCCAGGCTGCCAGGGATTGCATGGATTCCAACGACAACAAGCTATATACTCTCTGTGGCAAACTTCATGTTTCGAGACTATGATTTGGACACAGTAGCTCCAGTCTTCCAGCTGCACTGATGAGAGTGGTAGTGGGTCAGTGGTGTTTCAGCAGCGTGCAGCGTTCAATCGAAGTGAGGCAGCCCTGGCAGCTTACATGGCCTATAGAATCGGCTGTCGCATCCCACCACTGGACAAGGTGTGTGAAACCTTTCAGTGCGTTCTGTTGAGCCTTCACCACTATGTGTTACACTTACTTTCCCATGAAAGGTTCTCGTGCTATTGAAAGGTGAGCTGGTCGTCTGCCTTGTTTGATCAGACAAGAACATCATCAGGAATCAGATCCCATATTGGCACTCCAAGCTCCGCAGGACCCAGACAACCTGATGCTGCAGATCTTGCACGCTGAGAATCCCTTTCTGAGGATGGGGGAGTCCAGGCTGTCTTTTCTGGACAGTTGCAGAGGCAGCTTTGCCCACTCTGTGGTGAAGAGCCGTGACTTGGTGGATGCCTGTGTGATAGTTTTCAGGCAACAACCTGCAACAACTTGATACGACCATACGTTGCAACCTGTGAGCGCATCGGCTGTTTGTTTCTACCTGTGCCACAAACCAGATGAATCACCGCGCCCATGCCAGGCAACAGGTCTGTCAGCTTCAAAAAAACTCTGGCTTGGTGCTAGGGCGGACCTGCTTTGGGGCATCCTTAACTGAGGTGGTGACAAGCTGACGGCCTGTTTGAAGATTCTGGTGGCCAGTGCCAAAGTTCAGAAATTGGAAGCCAGGGAGCAGTTAGCTTTAATTATGATTGCAACGTACCTTCGCTCTGTGCAATTTGGTGAGTTCTTGGTGGATGAGTTGTCGGCTCGTCGGCCCTTGGCTTTGCTTCCGCTCGTTCAAAAGTTCTTCGAAGTCACCCATGGGGTTGCCCAGCGAAAAGCTTTCCTGCCGCCCCGAGTTATTTCCAAAAGGGGGCAGAAGGTCCGGCCGAACCGTGCCCTGGCGAAGCTTCGGATGGCTGATGTTCTGGCCATGGCTGGCCAATTTTTGGATGGCAGCCTCGACATTATGTTCGTGTGCCAGGGCAAAGCTGATTGGATTGTCGACGTGGATATGTGCCTTGTCGCAACCTGAATGGAATTTCAACAACATCATTTTCAAGACAGGGAAGCAATAGCCAAGTAATTGACCACCGAGGCTCTATCTCGTGAAGTGCAACTCCAGCAGGCTGATGGCTCCCCACTTTCGGCAGACACTTGCGGCCATTGATCGTTTGGCCAACCCTTGCTACGAGTGCAGCCCGCATTGGATTCGCAGATGCAGTTTATAGTATAGTATAGGTTCGTGTCCTGGGGTTTGTGAGTGGCCCGTGCACTATAATAGACTTCACTGACTAAAACTTTTGCGGCTTCAATGGCGCACTCGGGTTTTATGTCAGGAATGGAACGTACAGCAAGGTCTTTGGGCGATGGTGCGGCCAAAGCCCTGCAGACACTCTGGAAGCCGTCCAGGAGCAGTTGAAAGGTTTGCCAAATCCCAAGTGCGTGAAGATGCAAATTCTCCAGGCTGAGGTCACATCTGACGTTTGCGTCGTGAATGCGTGCAAGTGCATCCACGTCTTGAAGACTCCCGGTTTGCGCTTATCGTTGAGATTCAGCAAATGGCTTCCTGTCAGTCATGGGTTTCCCTAGCCACGACTTGCGCTCAGGAACTTTTGCTTTCTCAAAAGGAGTTGCTAGGCTAATTTGGGATGCCAGTGTGAGTTTGTTTCCGCCCCTTGGCTTTGCAGCCACAATGGGGGCAGCCATTCTCAGGCAATTGGATGGGCGAGGAAGACACTCCTCTCCCCAAAGTTGGCCGTGCCCTCGGCGGCAAATGAAGAGGCTTCCTGGCTCATCGGCTCCCGTTTCAGGCACCATTGCCGCTTTCGTTCCTTTAGGAGGAGATTTAGATGTCAGCTGCAAGGCCTTAACGCACCGCTTCATGTAGACCCTTAAAGTCAAGCACTTTGCCCTTCACTGCTGGACTATTCAGATTTTAGCAACTGAAGGGTTATGGCCCGGACCCTTCCAAGCATGTGGCTGGTTTTTGGCCACTGGGCTTTGGGTCGGATAACTAAAATTAGCCGTTAGTGTTTTGTGAGCATCCTGTTCAGGCCGAGATTGGCTGGGCTCATAGATCCTCACCATCAAGGCACCTTTTGACCTTGCAGAAGGTTTCTCAAAGGGTACAGTGTCGTCACCTTTCCTTGCGCAAGGAATAACTGTTGATGCAGTAAAAGGTGGTGGGCATGTGTTCAAGGGTTGGCCAGGCAGTGCAAAGCACATGCCTGAGCTTTGAGGCCACTGGTTATTATGTACCTTTGAAATCACCAAGCCTACCCTTCCCAGCGGAATAGCTTCAACCTATCAAATGAAAGGTAGTAGGTGGGGTCGGAAAGGTTTGCCTTGTGTGTCTTGTTTGAGGACCTTGTGTTGTTTCTTACAGCTCCCTGGCCGGTACTGGCCAATTTTGCGACTTCGCTCACTATCCTTGGCAGGGTGAGGTTGGAAGTGCGGCCCACAGATCCTCTCCATGGAGGTGCCTCATTGTTCCTTCCTCGGGCTTCTTCAGGGCACCCAGCCGTGACCTTTCCTTGCTCCAACCTCTTTGGTTTTTGCAGTCAAGGATGGCAGACATGTACCCAAGGGTTAGCCTGGTACTGTACGATCAATTCCTGTTTTCTTTGTCGCTTGCAACCCACTGTTTTGACTAGTGGCTGTGGTCC